TGTCAGTATGTCACTGCAGACAGTGCGGTCACTGTCAGTGTTTCACTGCAAACAGTGCGACCACTGTCAGTGTGTCACTGCAGACAGTGCGGTCACTGTCAGTGTCATCAGCGTACCGGTGAACGCCAGTGCGGTTTTATCGGTGGTCAGTATACTGAAACTGCACATCCCTACATTAAATTGACCGAAAGAAAAAATAGTGAACGAAAGAATAGCGAGAAAAAACAGCGAAAAAGAAATGGACAAAAAAATAATCTCGAGAAAAAAAATGGCGAAAAGCAAATAGCCAGTCGAAAAAATATCGAAGGTAAAACTAGCCTCTCTAAGATCTTTCAAAGATTTTTCAAAGTCTCGTAAAGTGTTTGAAAGATTTTTGAAAGTCTGTGGAAGATCTTTGAAAGTCTTTGAAAGTCTTTGAAAGATCTTTGAAAGACTTTGAAAGATCTTGGAAAACTTTAGAAAGACTTAGAAAGATATTTGAAAGATCTCTCTAAGATCTCTCTAAGATCTTTCAAAGATTTCTCGAAGATTTTTCAAAGATTTTCAAAGTATTGTAAAGCCTTTGAGAGATCTTTGAAAGTCTTTGGAAGATCTTCGAAATATTTTTCAAAGGCCTTTAATACGGCTAGATGTGGACTTTGTAAATGGATCGGAAACAGGTGCCTTATAACCGGATCCTCCCGTTGGGAAGAAACAGCGAAACTATAGTTCAGAAATGTACCGGAAACGGCAGGTGTACAACTCGGATCCGGTTAGCGCGCTATAAGATGGGAAACTTGGTCGAGAACCGCACCGGAAACAACAACAGGATCCGAACATTGCATCCGGGTGCAGGAATTAGCAGGAACTAAGCAGGATCCGGAAGCTGGATCCAATTTTGGAACACTGCTTCCAGGAATTGGCCGGAATTTCATAGAATCCGACCGTTTCCTGTCGTACAGTTTTGACCTAAGAATGGCTACTTACGGATCCCTATATGAATTTAAATACGTTGATGTTATTCTCATGATATTCTGTATCGCTTAAAACTTTTTGCTGACATCCTGATAAATAACTGAGTAATTGTGGCTTCCGTACCGTTACCATCATCAGCGTTTGTGAGAGCAGGAGATTTTTTCGTGACTCTCAAGGATTTTCATACCTGGTGAAGCTTTTAGCATTCGTCATTACAGATTTCGCTATCATTCGAAGCTTTATGGAGTCATTTCTATGAATTTATCTGTAAACCTGAGATTTTTGCCGCCGCCGCCAAATTGATGAAAGGCGCGAAATATTGCACACTGAGTTCGAAACACGATATATGACGCAAAGTTTTTCGGTCTGATTTTCACTCATAGTCATTGGGAACAAATTTGTTTCGTCAACGATTTGCGCATTGTCGTGTGGCTCGAAATGATTGGCTCTTTATGTTTCGCATTACTCTGAGTGGTTATGGTTGCTCGTCTAACTTTGTTACATCAATAAGTGAAGCGAAGCTTCCTGACCTCATTGTCAGGAATTTTGCTGTGATCGGGAGCTTTTCCACTGTTACTCTTACCAATATTCAAATTTTACCATTGTCTTCATGTCCTCTTTATACATCGCCTCATTAAATTCGCGAGCGCATTATATTCATTTTTGCCTTCTTATGTCTTTAATAACGGAAATTAATGGATAGAATGGGGGAAAAGAAGAAGTAAAATATTTGCAGTTTCTTTGCGCTAACTAAATAACAGTCAAAATAATTTCTTCTGCATTTCAAACCTTCTTAATAAGTTACTTACTAGGATTAAATTATTCAAGTCACCAAGTTCTTCGTAATTTGAATAATGTGTTGCTGTTGATTAGAATGTCTTCTGTGTCTTACACCGTTGACTTGTTTGTTTTTGAATGATTCGTATCTTAGTTTTGCAGCATGTCAAACCCTTATCTTCCGTTACTTTTTGTGTTTACCTCCTTTTTCTTCGTTTTGTAAAAATTCATATCAGATAAGCACTCTATGAGAAGGACTGCACACAACAATACAACATTCACTGAAAGATAAGACGACGAGTGACGACAAAGAAGCAAAACAAAACTCATAGTTATTCAGTGACATTCATTTCATATGCAGTGCACAAATCGATATTGATTTCTGTATAATGTGAGGTGGTTGAAATCGTTCAAAATTAGACAATGACTAGTAAGGAGACATTTCATTGCATGTCCGTTCGATAACTCGATGACTGATAGTTGACAGAGCACGGCTGTTCTAGAAAGATGTTGTTGCATTTAATACATTATCAGAAACATGAGACAATTTTACTTTCAGATGATACAAAAGTTGATAATTTTTATTTTAATTCATTTTTCAATTTAAATAGATATTTTGTATGATTTGACGTTTCATCTCATTTCTCAACAAAAAAAGAGGAAAAAAAAAACATTTAGTTTGTTCATTTGAACTTGAACTTCAAAAATATTTACATGCACAAAGGAATCTTTCGAACAAAACTTGGTTTAGCTTTTTTATCTAAATCTTATGAGAAGAACTAATCTTTTAAAATAGTCTAATATAAATATAAAAATCGAAATGGTAGGCATAGACTATTTGAAATTCTGATGAATATATATGTGGGATCTTATTGGATGCATTTTGTAGACTACGGAAGAATTCGAACAATTTTTTCATAGATCAATTCGATATCCAAAGAGACGTTCAAAGTACCTCAGAAACTTATATTATGGAATGGAAAATTTAACATTATCAGAATGTGAAGATGGCTTTACCTAAGTATCGACATATTAAGATCTATTGAAAAATAAAATCTCGATTAATATCTATTACCTGTAGAACTCCTTCAAAATCCGTCCTGCACCTCAACGTGGTGAAGGAGTGAACATCTGAAGTAAGGGACTGCCCGTCCAGGCTATACCATCAGTGATGAAGGTTCTACCGAAGAATCACCAAGAGCGCTACGCAAGGTGGACAGGTTGAACGGGAACCCCGAAAAAAAGATGGCCAACGCAGGCGGTTAAAGCTTGGGCAGCAGCAAGCCTTTACAACGCCAATCAACGGATGATCATCGTACAACGGCTGATTGGCAAACAACAGAGGTCAGTAATCATCAAATGATGAACACCCTCTGTACTGCGAGATGGAAAGTCACAGGGAAGCTACCATCTTAACACTCCCAAACAGCATGGTGAACAAGGAACAGTTATCATACCGGCTCGGACGTCGCCCGGGTCAACAAGGTCCGCGTCCCCTGTCGGGCAACCAGGACAGGGTCGAAAAATGGGTGACTGGAAGAAGTAGAGGAAACAACGACAACAAGCAAACAAACAACAACAACAACAAGATTACAACAATTCCATCGACATCAATCCAACTACGACAGAAGTTAAGAATTGGCACTTGGAATGTCCGAAGCATGCTACAACTAGGAAAAATGTATATACTATAACAGGAAATGGAACGACTAGGGGTAGACATATGCGGACTAGCGGAGATCAGATGGGAAGGACAAGGACACTTCAATACAACGAAAGGCCATACTGTCATCTATTCAGGAAATGAAAAACGTGGGCTGCATGGCGTAGCAATATGGATACATAGGAAAATAGCTAAAGCAATTATAAGCTATGAACCAGTCAACGAACGTATGATGGTTGTAAGCCTGAATGCAAGGCCGAAGAACATCACATTAGTTCAAGTATACGCACCAACAACAACAGCTGAAGAAGAAGTCACAGCAACGTTTTACGAAGAATTGGAACGCGCAAGCAAGAAGATCCCCAAAAATGACATCATGATGATGATGGGAGACTTCAATGCAAAGGTAGGGAAACAAAACGTAATCGGCCCAGCCGTAGGTCCATTTGGACTAGGTGAGGCAAATGATGCAGGAGATCGTTTTAGGGAATTCTGCGAAGAACATGAATTGATACTGGTCAACACATGGTTCAAAAAACATCCAAGACGATTATACACATGGAAATCACCTGATGGCAAAAGCAGAAACCAAATTGACTACATCACAATCAATCAAAAATGGAAAACCAGCGTAATGGACTGCACAACTTATCCAGGTGCTGATTGTGATACAGATCATCATTTGCTAGTCGCAACAACAAGGATCAGACTACGCAAGATACGCAAAAAGAACGAGACGCCGAAACTTAACGTGGAAAAACTAAAAGAAGAAAAAGCAACAGCGTTTGCCATTACAGTAACAAACAGATTTACAACACTAGGTGAAATTGAAGAAGACACAACACCAGATTTATTATGGAAGACAGTGAAAACAGTTTTGATGGAAACAGCCAGAGACATTGTCGGCTACAAGAAACAAGAAAAGCACAAATCATGGATATCAGCACAAACGATGGAAATGATTAAAGAACAACGAGAAATGAAACAGAAAGATCAAACAAAATACAAAAAATTGAAAGCAGAAGTACAAAAGAAACTACGCCAGGACAAGCAAAATCAATTGAACGAGTTATGCAATGAATTAGAAATGGAAAACAAAAAAGGCAATACAAAGAAACTCTTTCAAACAGCAAAAAAAATTACAAGAAAATTCCATCCAAGACTTAACTGTATAAAATCAAAAACTGGCGAGAACATCACCGAGACTGAAAAAATTGCAGAACGTTGGAAAGAATATTGTCAAGAACTATATGAAGAAAAAGACAACACAATTAATTGGAATTTTCAAATCGACGAACAAGAGCCACCTCCTCTAATATCAGAGGTGGAACGTGCAATAAAGGATACAGCAAGCCAAAAAACACCAGGCCCCGACGATGTACCTGTCGAACTAATCAAGAATGGTGGAGAATCGACGATTAAACTAATGCATCGAATTTGTGTAACAATATGGAAGACTGGAAAATGGCCAGAAGACTGGACAGATTCTTTATTTATTCCACTGCCCAAAAAAGGAGATTCCAAACAATGTTCCAATTATAGGACAATTGCACTTGTTTCACACGCGAGTAAAATTATCCTCAGGATCATTCTGGAAAGAATCCGAATGAAAACCGAAGAAGAAATTGCAATCGAACAAGCGGGATTTCGACGTGGACGAGGAACTCGAGATCAAGTAGTTAACCTAAGATTATTACTAGAAAAGGCACACGAACATCAACAAACAGTTTTCATGTGTTTTATCGATTTTAAAAAAGCATTTGATTCAATATCTCACAATAAGCTCTGGACAACAATGATGAAAATGGGCTATCCACCACATCTGATTCATTTACTCGCGGAGTTGTATCAAAAACAAAATGCGAAGGTGAAAGTGGCAGGTACCGTTTCAGAAAGTTTTCATATCAAGAAAGGAGTACGACAGGGTTGTGTAATATCACCTTACTTATTCAACATCATAGCTGAAATGGCTATGCGAGAAACATTGGAAGACTTCACAGGTGGTATCCAAATCGGTGGTGAAGAAATAACAAATCTTCGTTATGCAGATGACATTGTTCTTACAACACAATCCATGAACAAACTTCAAGAACTAGTAACCAAGTTAGACACAGTGTGCAGAAACAAATATGACTTACACATCAACATCGACAAGACCAAAGTTATGACGACAGATGGAACGACCTGTTGCATCAAAATACAAAACTTACAGCTAGAACAAGTCAACACTTTTTCTTATTTAGGTTCAGTCATTACAGAAAACGCCACAAGCAAAGAAGACATAAGAAACAGACTTCGTACAGCACAAGGAATCAGTACGTCTTTAAACAAGCTCTGGAAAAGTCATAATATACCGGTGAACACGAAAATTCGTTTGTTGAAATCACTTATATGGCCAATAGCCACGTACGGATGTGAAAGTTGGACCATCAGAAAAGAAGACGAAGATCGCATAAAAGCATTCGAAATGAAAGGATATAGACATATCTTACGTGTACCATGGACGGCAAGAAAAACAAACGAATGGGTACTAAAAACCATTAATGTCAATAGAACAAGGGGGAAACGGCGGACTTGAAGTAGAAAAGTACGTCAAAGTACGTGAAAGTAGACTACTTGAAGTAGCTCAAAGTACCACCCAAGTAGTCCAAAGTAGGAACAAGCAGCTTAAAGTAACTTCAAGTAACTTCAGGTAAAGTTGAAGTTAAAAAGTACTTCAAAGTAAGCTACTTCAAGTAGCTGAAAGTAACTTGAAGTAGCTTAAAGTAGCTCAAAGTAACTTCAAGTCCAAAAGTCCGCCGTTTCCCCCTTGCAATAGAAGTTTATTGGAATCAATTAAATCAAGGAAACTTAAATACTACGGACACGTGATGAGAAACAAAGAAAACACTCTTGAAAAAGACATAATACAAGGCACAGTGCCCGGAAGGCGAGCACGTGGTAGACCAAGAATGGCATGGATGGACAACATCAAAGCATGGACAGGACTGTCGGTGGCAGAAACGTTAAGGTCGGTAGAGAACAGGAAACAATGGAGGAGGATCGTTCACAATGCGACCAATCTTCGGATCGAAGACGGTTGAAGAAGAAGAAGAAGACCTGTAGAAAAATCAGTATATAACATGAGCATATTGTCTTTGATATTTGTTTTTTGTGCAAAGCTATTTGTGATATCCGACTAGTAAACAGAGCTGTAATAATGGCGAGGCTTTTATTGTCTTTTGACTATAGACTTTCTAGATTTCGTAGGAGACCGACGACATCTGTGAAAAAAGTTTTCTTGATCGTTGACAATCATTTTGAAGGTGTCTTAGGTTTTTACGAAACCTTTTTTAGGGTTTCGATTTTTTGCAACAAAATGGTTTGGTATGGCACCTTCTTTTTGCAGTGTAGTCTGATCGATCTTCAGATTGATAGATAAAAAAAACTGGTTATCCTCAACATCTAGGTCTAATTCTACTAGGAAGCAGTTTAGGACACTTTTAATGAGAATTTGACAGGGAGATCCACGGAAAATTATATTTATTCCGTTTTACTTTGATACTTTGGCAGCTACTATGACTTGTACATTTGCCACTCTTTAGTCCCGTTAGCTCTTTTAGAGTCTTGGGAATGGGTGTAAGTATGGATTTAGAGGAGACCCATATCCACACCAAAACACCTACACCCTTTTCAAATCAAGCTTATTCTGATGACTATAAAGATGGAACATCAATAATTAGTGACAATACCATGGTATTGCTCTTGTATTTCGAAAACAGAATGAAATCAATAGGGTGTGGGTGTGGGTGTGGGTGTGTGGGATGTGGGTGTGGGTAGGTGTGGGTGTGGGTGTGGGTAGGTGTGGGTGTGTGGGTGTGGGTGTGGGTGTGAGTGTGGGTGTGAGTGTGGGTGTGGGTGTTGGGTGTTGATGTAGGTGTCGGTATTAGTTGGTCTAAGATAAAGCCACATCCACACCCACACCCACACTTACACCCACACCCACACTCACACCCACACCTACATCACACACCCACATCCACACACCCACACCACACACCCACACCACACAGCCATACCCACACAGCCACACCACAC